TATTTCGTAAACACGACGTGCACTGGTTTTCGGGTGGGTTACAACTCGCGAAATAAACGTAACGTCGCCGCAACGTCGGTAAATCAGTGGCCATACTCACAAAACAACGTGCCATCCTAAGAAACTACACTAATAGCAGAAACGACAAATATTTTCTTTTAACAAAAACGCGGTACAACGAGGTATGGTCGACTACACGCCCATAAATAGTTCTCATTATATATGATTCACGCGTCGGTCGTAACGCGACAATACATGGTTAGGGCCCGCCCGCACGGGTTGCATGTAGTTGGGGGCAGATGTGGGGGAAGGCTACCCGCGTAGCCGCGTTTCCCGCCCTGCTGTGGAGGTTTACGCACTTCCTGCTACCCGAGAGCGGCTGAAACCTTGTCATAACAAACGGCGCGGCGACAATGCGTTAAACACTTCGCGTGTGTGGCGCGCGTGGGTGGCTGGCTACTCTTACTAATTCATACCGATTGCTAGCAGCTCGGAACAACCAGTGTGGCCAACTGTTACAGTAACCTCCCCGGCAGCACACCAACTATAGACTAATTGGCACATTAATTATGTTTTCCTAGTTAGTATTGATTAATCATTGCAGTACGTCGCCGAAATATTGTTTTCGGTTTTACTAGGATTCGGGTGACAGCGGAATATCTGGCCTTGATGTAACATTATGTCAAGAGCTAATAATACGTTTTATTATTAGCTCCTGATTATGTTAAAGGAAAGGGAATATTTTACAAATGGTTACGTCAAATATGGGAAAGATGGCTTCACTGTAACAACTGACAAACTAGCTGGTCACAATAAAACTGTGTGTTACTGTGGGTGCCAAGTCTCTTCACTGTAACAGAGGTTTAGCTGTCGCCACTGTAACAGAGCGACTATAACCGGCCTCTTGTTGTAACAGAAATAACTTTCCAGCCTACCGCCCAAACATAAGGGCCGCACACAGTTCGGAGAGAGAGCAACAAGCATCCAGTAACACACGCGCACTGATGCACGAAAGGGGCCGCGCATGCACGCACGCACACGCACGCGAGCACGCACACGCGCACGCGCACAAATCAATCGTCTGAATCCCGGAGCATGCGAGTGCGAAACCTGTTGCTTGCTAAAACTACCGTCGGAGTTTTATCGCCTCGCGGCCACAATATGGCCAGGAGTGTTGGAGCGGCAAATTCAAACAAAACTCAATCACACGGGTTAATGTAATAACAACATCAAAGCGTGCCGCGCACTCGCGCTCTTGTAAACATCTAATGGCATTCGCCGAACCCGCTGCTGCGGCCCGTCGCCGGCTAAATTGCCGCCGCTCACTCGCCCGCCGAGCATAATAAAGTTATAACTTTCAGCGCGCACGGAAAAACACTCGCGAGGCGTCCAATTCAAACACTTAGCGGCAGCAGCCGGAGCAAGAGCGCAAAACTATTTGGGCGGGATGAGAGGAGGAGGAGGATGAGGGGAGAGGAGGGGGGTCAGAAGAAGTTCCAAGTACCGCCGCTGTGCTTCGAGTGTTGACTGTGTGTGGCGGGGGGAACTCGCCGACGTGACTGCCACCGCGCATACGCATGGCCGCCGACGCCGCAATCTTCAAATTTACACCCATAACCCCTCGTACATGACGCGCGCGCACAGAATACTAGCGTCAGTAGCTGCGTCAGCGTCGGCCTCAGCGTCGTTCCCGTCATCTGCATCCGCACAAACATCTGCGTCGGCATCCGTGAATGTATCTGCGTATATATGCATCTGCTCCCGCGAACGCATTTTGCGCTAGCATCTTTTTCGTCAGAATCCACAAATGCCTCTGCATCACTATATCTATCTACATGCGTCAGCGTCAGCTTTCGCAGTTTCATCTGCGTCAGCGTCAGCTATCGCTCGACGCACACGCCTCCCCGACGCGTCCGCGCGAACACAGTCAGCGTTTGCCGTCAAAGCTCATTTCTGGCTGCGATAACCACCGGAGCAAACGCGATAAGGACCAGATTTATTCGATTACTAATCAAATGCAATGTGATTACTGCACTTTGCTTTGACGCGGGGGCAGAGGCAGTGGCGACGCGTACCTCGCTGCGGCGTATAACCACAGCCGCATTAACCCCCCAACCTGCGGGGCCCGCCTGCGCTGCCTTTGATCTTCATCTGCCCGGTTAATTGTCTATTACTGATCTATTACCGCATTTCTACGCACCCCGCGAGAAATTGAGGGTCTCGCGAGCAACAATAGAAAGATGACACGGACCGCACGATGTATATGGCGGTCGCTCGCTTCCTGTGTGGCGGTTGTTCGCAGATTGCGATGCCCTAGCGCTCGATTAAACTGGCCGTGTTTGAGGGAATAGACTTCCCAGCCATATACCTGCTCATTATGCGTCAGTACAGGGCAGAGTATTGCGAAATGTATATATGTTACCAGGAATATATTAACACATCGTTATTTATTTTATTATCAGGATCAAATAATATATTAATTATTGTATATTATATATATATACTCTAATATATTATATCAGTATCTTATGTAGAAATTAAAGGCCGCCCCTCTGGCCGGGACAGGCAACTTTTAAGCAGGACTGGCTAGTTTTGCGGAAGCGATATAGTAGATATTTTCTAAATCAGGGCTGACTGTGTTTTCAGACTCTATTCCAAGACTGATTATATACTATGGTATTACTATATTATTATACTTCCCTGGTATACTATTATACTTATACTATTATTATACCATTAATGCTATTATTCACTCTTACAATTATTCCATTATTATCAACGTTAAAATACACCTCATATTGCTGCATGCTCTGATGTCGCATTTTACTGTTACCGGCCAATCGAACAGACTGCACACGCGAGGGAGGACCAAGCGGCTGCAGTAGAATATTTCCCCCTCTCTACCTGCCGATTTGTTCCGGCACAAAGTGCAAGCAAATGGCAGAACAATGCCACCATTCACGGGTCCGAGTGCGAATTCCTATAGGACATTCAAGTGGCGGCCCGCGCACCTGTAAATACAACGCTTACTACAACAATAAGTTTATCAGGGGCCTTGACGGCTACCTTACGTGGAAAGCGCCTTTGATCTTTCGAGGGGGAATGAAAATATAGAGGAGCTAGACACATATTGCGAGCCACACATCCTTGCATGACGTGCCCCGTATGTCATTATTGACACTCCATCGCGGTTTTACACGGATTCTTTTACAACTAATGCGCGATGAAAATATTATAAACACTTGTGTGCAGCAGAGATAAAAACCGTCTTAACGGGATGAGGATGCAGAGAACAACACCATTTGAGTTAGACGAGGCATTGAGCTATAAAGTTAGCAATGAAATATAATATAAATATATACTTCCGGGCGCGAAGTGTACATACAAATGTAGATCCTGATGTATGAGGACAGGAAGGAGTATACCGCATACGGGACACACGACTACGCTACGGCTACTGCTTCTGGGCTTCATCAAACCACTCGCGCTGTCATAGGAACGGATCGGTCAGCTTCAAAATTTATGATTGTTACACTGCGAGCAGGTGCGTGTACGGAGGGGACGGAAGCTGCGACACCTGACCACCCGATGAACAACAGCCTCGGTCCCGTGACTATGGAGCCAGCCAGCTATCGTAGCGCGAGCAGGCGTCTGCTGTCGAGGGAACGAACCGCGGGAGGGACAATTACAGCACTTCGCGGGGTCTCTTATCAGCAATCAAGGGATTACGGTGGTGATCTAATAGGCTTTTAGTCGGCACAATATAAATGTTTTGAGGCGGCACCGGCCGACGCGCAGGCTATTAGAGAGACTCCCGTGCCACGCCGCGTCTCCTGGAAGATTCAACACGGCGGGGGAAGGCGCGGAAGAAAAATAACAACGCGTATGTCGTATCGTATCGTATCGTATTGTGTACCCCCGCGTCGGTGGGACCGCTGCTGCGTGTTTACACTTGCGAGTGCGATATATTTGCAACAACTAACAAGCTGTGTGTGCGCGCGCGCAAGTCTGAATGTTTTGCAAAGCATTCGAGTGAGAGCGAGAGAGCGTGTGTGTGTGTCTGTGTCTGTGACAGTGGGTGAATGGGTGAGCAAAGCATGGAGCGAATGAGCGAGCGCGAGTGAGTGATTGAGTGAGTGAGCGAGCGCCCGAGCGAGCGAGAGCAAGGAAGAGGAGGGGGTCATGTTTGTTGCATGCATGCGTGCGTGCGTGCGTGCGCACGTGCGCGTCTGTTGCTGACAGCTCATGATTGACTGCTAGCTGAGTGATGGCCCGCAGTGACAAGGTGCGCTCGTCATTCCGCGCTGCCCCTGAATGCTCTCTAACAATATCTCCCCCCCCCGCCATTCTCTCTCTCTCTCTCTGTCTCTCTCTCTCTTTCTCTTTCTCGCTCTCTCTCTCTCTCTTTCTTTCTCTACATCTCTCTCTCGCTCTCTCTCTTTCTCTATCTATCTATCTCTCTCTCTCTCTCTCTTTCGCTCTCTCGTCCGCTCCCTTTCGCTCGCGTTCTCTCTCTCTCTATCCTCTTCTCTTTCTCGCGCGCTCTCTATCCCTCTCTCTCTCTCTCTCTCTCTCTCTCCTTCTCTCTCTGCAGGCAACCGACAACTCGACCTCTCAGTTACACGGATGTCATCATCGACCGACGTGAGAAATCTATTATCGCGCACGCATCGAATGATAATGCACACCGCCTGCATGCATTCATACACATCTCCCGATACAATACATATAACGACGACCAGGATAAACAGAAAACACAGTAGCCATTACGCGCATAAGAGGCTGTGTACGTAAATCGGAAGTGTAAACGAGTCCGAATATAGGGTGACAGGCAATGCACCTGGGTAGAAATAAAATCGCCCGATGAATAGAAACGTTATCACAGAACGGGAATAAGATTCTACCACCATAAGCTTCCTACACTATTTGCTTTACAGTAACCAACATCTGTCTGGCGACCGATCGACCGATCGACGCACTCTGCCTTCGCGGACTCTTACCTGCTCCGAAGGCAAAGAAGAAGCTTTTATCCGGGTACTTCTGCAGTAGATGGTCGACTCTCTGCGCCATGCGCTGGTTGCGCTGGTAGATCAGCTCCTGGCGGAAGTAGTCGTCTATCATCTGCGCTGTCTGCACGTCCTCGTCAGATAGCACCGACGAGTTGAGAGCCGCCACCTGCGACGTGTCCTTCAAGAAGCATGCAACGGTGACCTTAATACCATCGTCATTGTCATCCCCACTATGTTGGTGATGGTAATGATGATGATCATCATCATCACCAGCAGCAGCAGCAGCAGCAGCAGCACTATCACCACCCGCATTATGACCATTGTCACCGCCAACATCATCTTCATCATCATCATCATCATCATCATCATCATCATCATCATCATCATCATCACCATCTGCACCAGCAGCATCACTAGCATTATGAGCATCTATAGTATCATCAGCATCACCAGAATCATCGTCACCATCATCCACATTACCATTTTCTCCACCAGTGTGATACTTTCTTAGTCTACCTTTTAAATATGACCGCCTCATGTGAAGCCATTTTAGATTCGTGGGGCAGTATATAACAGCCTCACAGCAGAAATTTCATTCGGATCACTGTCAAAACGTTAACCTACTACATAGGGACTGGCCTCATTGCATTCTCCAACATTACAAACCCGCTACATAATTATATAACGTCAGAACACATAATACTATACTACTCCTACATATATAATGTTGGAATATAGTGTGATGACAAAGTGACCAACAAAGATGCGAGCGCGTGCAATAACATCAGCGATCACGGTTACAATCGCACACTTACACTGGCGCTGTCAGAGGAATGTGGTTGACATTCGGATAAACTATCGCGTACCTGTGTGAAGATGACTGTGTTTAGGTCGCCACAGTTGTAGTGTCGTATGAGATCATCAGTACTGTACGGTGACCGTAGCAGACCAGAGCGAATGCCCTCCTGCTGATAGAGGGTGTGGTTCAATGCAAACACCACCTGTGAATTAAGAAGTCATGTTAGAAGACATTAAAACTCATTCTAAACTGGAAAAAATAGCAGTTGCTAACATGTTAGTAAAGATAAAGGAACTAGTTATATCAAAGAGATCTTTACCTATTTCCAATTTTAGGGAATAATATTATACGTATTTAGATCACTGCATGGTCATATTTACCTAACTCAAATTACAAGACTACTGATTAGAGATTTCATCAAATGACACAGATGACTCGACATTTTTCATCTATAAGTTTACATTTTATATTATATACTATCACAATACACGTGTATGTGATACTGTTGTGTCAAACAGACTGATTCTCAGTATATATTTTGATTGCGTATTTTTAACGGTGTGATACGTGCTTTTCTGCTTATTTTACACCCGGTCTAGAGAGCACAGTGAATTGACAAAAACTGCAATAACAACTTACTCCACCAATTCCAACCCCCTTAGAAATGAGAACCCGTTTAGAAAGTTGCATGCCCATATGGCCGCCCTCTTAAATAACGTTCCATAATCTAGGAACAAATTCTAAAGCGAACCCTTTTCTTCCAAAGTTGTTCTGGCACATGCTGTACGCGTGCACAAAAGCCCCGGCCGTGGGTCGATAGACGAGGGCCGCCAATGTCACAGGTAACCACACCACACCTGTCATTAGCCGTTAACGCGATGGGAAATCAATGGGCCGACAGAGCAGCGGCTGCTGATGAATGCAGCGACAGCACGAAGACACGCACTCAAAAAGCTAAACGCTTCACGGTGACACGGAAACCTATACTGCGGCGGCGGCAGTGGGGATGGATAACGACGACCGCACACGACAAACACGTCTGTCCCTCACGGACACACGACTACTATACCTGCCACTGTTCGTACAAATCACCGCGCACTTACGATACACGGCTACACTGACTGACCTGCGCTGGAATTTTCAATTCCAGAAATAAAAACGAAAAAAATGCGTAGCATATGATAAACTTGATAATTGTTATCCAACGAAGGAAATTATTAAAAAACTTATTCGCCTTGCCAACTCAAGTTCAATGTGAATTCATAACCACGCTGCTTTTTACATGAGTACATTTTAACCCTTACCACCGAATATTTTACCTGTGTCGCGCTTTCCATGTGTGTATAGATAAACTAAGCAAATAACAAGATGGGTTTTTTCACTCCTTGTAAACTAACATTAACCGATGTCAAAACAGTTTGATACTGGCAATTATACTCGAAAGGTATTTCGTCCCGATAGCTACAAGTGTACTCAAACCCATATCGTGTTGTATCGCCCCCGTTGTAAAGGTACTTTAACAACGCGCCCATTAGAAAGCATTTAGACCAAAACAGATGCGAGATTAGTTGTCGGGACGGCACCTAAGGAATCACCGCGTGACTTGGTAGCCGGCAGCGACGGGCCTTCACGTCGGCCCCGTATCTAATACTGGCAAGACATGATCACTGCCGCGTTTCCCTCAGCGACACGACACTCGTCATCATTATCCCATTCAGATATTCGCCCGAACGCGTGTTATTGTAGAGCACTGCAGCGTAGCGGCCAGTGACAGTGTCGGCGACAGACAGTCACGTGCGTAGATAGTTTTGACACAAAACAAGCATTACCGTCTGGAGAGCCCGAACTGACAGTCTGGAGGTAACGCACCTATGTAGTACTTCGCCCCACCCGACTGTTGCAGAACGAATGGCTATATAAGTATAGAGCTAGAGAAAGCAACGAAGTTTCCTTTAGGTGCAAACTTTTAAAGTTCGGATGGATTCCTGGTGACTAGTAATTACTTGAAACGTGTTCACGATGTAATGGCATATATAATATTCAGCGTTACAGCCCATTAAATAAATGTCTCAGGGTATGCTAGAAACTTCCAACTGTATATAACCATGGCATATTGGCTTTTTATGAGGGAGTAACTAACCCCACACAACCGGTTTATCTACCAATCAATAATAATATGCATGCGCGGAGCACATTTGGTGTCCAATTACACATATATGTATAATCAGGAGCGTATAATGACAAAAATTTGTCATTATACGCTCCTGGTATAGTGCGGGCATTTCTAATTACGTAGCAGGATATTTTAGCACACTGCTTACCGAATGGAAATTAACATTGTAAGTTTTAGGTTCAAAGAGACAACTGATGTATAAATATAGGTATATAACCGGATGTCATTGCGGTTACACCGAAAATTGCAACAGGGCTTCCGTTGCCTGTTTACTCACGTTTTCGTTATAATACGCTGCCTTTTCACAAGTTCAAAAAGGTCGACCTATAACCCCATTAAAATTTTACGTTCTAGGTATTCGATAAAAAAAGGCTAGATAAGCACAACACAATAAAAACGTGCGTTAGACGATAGCGAAAGAATTCAATTTCGATAAAACGTTTAACGCGAACAAATTCTCGTCAATCATCAGCATCACCGAGTATAAAGAAGTAGTCTAGGCCGGGAAATTTTCCTATTCTCTCCTAAGGGAAAGCTACAACAAAGCGCGCCGGTATAAGGCCCCGCGCACAGCATCAACATCCGGGGGAAGCAATGCGGAGAAAAACTGCGCAAACTGTTTTGACATATTATGAAAACAGCTTTCACGGGCCGACGCGACGGCGTAGATCAAAGCCGGCCGCCAGCTCCCCTGGCTCAACCTCTCACACTGCGGGCGCCACCGCCCTCCCCCTCCTCCCTCACCTTCTCTCTCCCCCCCTCTATCAAGCTTATTTATCCGTAATCGCCAACAATCAGCAGGAACTTGCCCCGAATTTCCCCGCGACTAACAAAGCAAGAGGTAGTTTGCGAGGAGGACACTTTCCCGCGTGCACGTACGGTCCCACACCTATATAGGGCAGGAGGTTTTGACGTGACGCTGGACTCTCTTGCGGGTGTTTGCTCTCTGCGGAATGAACCGTCCAACGAGAGGATTTTAACAAGCCTTTTTTTTTCGGTTACATTTCAACTAGTGCCGCTGTCTGATCCCTAGGTGAATGGGTGCGGATTAGAGAGGATGAAGCAGTCGACTATTGGTTGCGACGATAGAAAGAGAGAGAGATGGAGGAGAGATTAAGGGAGGGAAGGAAGGATAGGTAGGGGACAGGGAAGGTAGGGGATAGGGAAGGAAGGAGAGGGAGGGGACAGGGAAGGAAGAAGAGGGAGGGGAGAGGGAGAGAGACAGGGGAAAGAAAGAGAGGGGGAGCGGGGGAGAGGGAAGGGGAGGAAGAAAGGGAGGAGGAAGGAAGGAGAGGGGGAGAGATGGGTCGATAGCAATGCACACATACGCACGCACGGACGCACGCGCACACACATTATAGACGCGTCTGTACATCCCTGCGTAGTGGTTCCAGCTGCAGATCTACACGCACACCAGCCACCCTATACCCTCTTCAAATATATAGGTTGGGGGATAGTTGGCGTTACAGTTATATGGTTAGTTCTAGGGTTAGCCTGAAGGTCGGCGTACGCGTAAGTAGAGTACGAGTTATATAGGTTAGTATACGTCAGGATACGTAAGGATACGAGTTATATATATACGTCAGGATGGTTCAGGATACAGTAAATATACATCAGGATACTTGAGGATACGAGTTATATACGTTAGGATACGTAAGAATACGTAAGTATACGAGTTACACCCGTTACGTTACGTTAGGACAAGTTACTGTTACGTTACATACAGTTACTACGACTTAATACGTACAAGTACAACTTACAACTTAAACTTTAACTTACTACAACGTAGTAACTACTACAACGTAGAAACTTACTACAACGTACAACTTAAACTTACTACGTACAGTTTAAACAAGTTGTTACGTTACGTTACAAGTTACGAAATTAGGATACGTTATGAACTTATGGTACGTTAGGATACGTTAGGACACGAGTTACGTAATGTTAAGAAACGTTTGGAAACGTTGGTATAGGAGTAATATACATATCTGGATACTTTACGTTACAGTTTTTATACGCTAAGATACTTTAGGATACGGGTTACACACCTTTTCATACGAATTATATACCTTAGAATACGTTATGATAAGGGAGAGCCAACTCAGCACGCGAACTCAGATTTCTCACCAAGTTTTCAAACGTGGGGCCAAATTACTACGGCGGAGGCTGCGGAGGGCACAACCATAGAAAGGCGGATTCTTACGGAGTAGTCTCCCGCGCCTAAACTACGTGGAGACGGGAGTGAACCCCCACCCGCAGGTGCGTGCATTCCGCGTAAATAGACATACCAGCACAAGAGAGAATAGCTGAGGTGTGGTGCGGGGTGGTGGGAGTTACCTAGCTAGGGCTTTATAGATCTTCGCTGCAGATGATCATTATATAATAGTAGACATTAGTTTGGACTTCGATTTTTTAGATCTAAATTACTTTCGTTTAGAGTTTAGATATATAGAAATTCGTTTAGATATACAAATTAGTCTGCGATTTCGAATACGAGTAGCTGACATCACTGTTTTACCATGCAGGTGATCGTTCTGCTATATAGTTATATAAAAATTTGCACTTAATCACTAATGATATCTTAATTTACATTTTAATTAGTCTCCAAACTCTAGATTTTGATTTTGTTCAAATAAACATTCCTTAGTGGCTATTACCTTGTCTTGATGATACAGCCGATGCGGCAACTGTGTACAACCGAGAACACAATCATCATTATATCTCGATCACGTACGTCTTCCACAAACTGTCACGTCACATATCGTCACCACTAATAACGACTTGTAATGAACGACCCACGGTACGTACGCGGCTGCAAGTGATAGTAAGGATGATAGTAATAGCATCGGTACACTTAATTGGCTCGCAGCCAAAGACAACCACAGGGCTACTTTCCTCGCGCCTATACCTCCTTGTGACAGAGCTGACACTAATGGTTTACCGGCCCCCGAGGAACTACAAAAGGCATACTATATCACAGTTCTGGAATTTTACTTGAGTTTTCCTGACCTGACGGTCAAAAAATCACC